CACCCTGACCCATTTCCAAATAACCAACTGACTCGTTACCCGCCAAACCGTTTCCATTTCTGACCACAAGGCTGGTATCCACTCTTGTTTTATTTGTCTGTATGAAGTATTGGCGGGAGGGTTTCATATCGCCTATGAAGCTGTCTCACATAATAAAGTTGATAACGTATTACGGCCAAACTCATGATGAAACAATAAGCTTTCCGAGACCACAAGGCGAGTAAACTAATCTTGTTTTGATTGTCTATATAAATCGAATTTGTAGGAAGTGTTTCATATCGTCTTTGAAACAAGTTAATAAAAATCGAGTATATTTCGTTGTACAAAAACTAAGAGGATCATATGAAGACTAGTCCCTCTCCCTCAGCTTATGTCAACTGATGGTTAAACACCCTAACGTCACCTCGGGGGGGGAGGGTTAGGTTAGGTTAATCTTAAGCGGGTGACGTAAACAAGGGGGGTTAATCTTCAGGTGATCTAACAAAGCTTTTACAACCGACCTGATCCTGAGCTTTGGTGTGACGTGACGAAGCTTTGTACTCTGTCATCATATAAGAGGAAGTAGAGGATGGTACTCGGAAAAAATGCCACAGGAAAAATGGCACTATTTTCGTACTAGGAAAAAATGGCACAACAAATTTCACTTCGAGCTCACGAACCACAAACAAACTTACGAGCTAACGAGTAAATGATGATGTTTGGTAACTTGTTATATCACCTTTGTTTAGCCCTGACTTCCATTTATACACCTCGATCACATCTCGTGTTTTAGTTCCTTTGTCCAATAATATTCTTAGGTTAGGTTAGGTTAGGTTAGGTTAGGTTAGGTTTGGTTAGGTTTGGTTAGGTTAGTTTCAGTAACAAACGTTATACTCTTTTAGCGAAAACATGTCAATAAAAATTAATGTGCCATTTTCCCCTAGTCTGATGATTATGCCTTTTTTTCCGGTGCCATATTTTCCTATTGCCAGTTTCCCTGTGCCATTTTTTCCTACATTCATAGAAGACATGATGTATAAATGGTGGGGATATATACATAAGGTATATTATCAGTGTGTGTACCCCCCACCCCCTGGCTAGCCTCACAGTAATCTGGTTCCTCGCCTAAAGTCCACAGTCTCCCTGAAGGCGAAGGTTCACAGTGATTGATCTCTCTCTGCCTTAATGAACTTACTTACCTAGTTAAAGGCATCAGGCACACACACACACACACACACACACACACACACACACACACACACACACACACACACACACACACACACACACACACACACAAACACACACACACACACACACACACACCAAGCAATCTGTCAACCGAAACTCAACCTTCACAAGAACTATTATAAAGCGCATTAAATAGATACACCAGTAATTACACTATAACCATCGTTAAAAGGTTAATAATTATCAACTAAAACTCGATCTTTTCAGGAAAATATCAGATTAATCTTCAGTAAGCGCCCACAAGACCAAGATGCGGCCCCCTGTAATATCCTTCACTTGAGATAATCACAAAAGTCTAAAGTCTGAAAAATTTTCTTCGCTGTAAAATTGACTCCCAGGGTTTAATGTCATTACGAAATTAATGTACAGAAATAATCTGGCTTAAGATGAGATTAACTCTTCTCATACATTACGTTTATTACACAACTCTGGTCCCGTAGGAATGTTTCTGTACTGTGTTGGCGACTAAGGTTATGTTGGGTTGTTGTTATTATTATTATTGTTATTTCTATTATTGTTGTTATTATTATTATTGTTGTTGGTGGTACTGGTGGTGTTGTAGTTATCATTAATATTTTGTTTTATTATCAGCAATATTTTTTTACTTCTTAGTTTTATCATAATTACTTTATTCCTGTGATAAAAACGGCAAAAAAAAAGAAATAAAATTAAGAAAAAATAAACTTTTCTTTAGAGTGAAGTAAATTAACAGAGGCGGTGGTGAGTATAAACAAGACACACTTAAACTAATTCTTCTCGGCATTGAATAATTACACGCAGGAACATCACTGAAGGACAGCAGACATGACCTTCACACACGACTTCTGGTGATGAGAGCAACTTAAGGGAGATATTGACGACTCTTGGTGTGTTTACTGAACTGATATGACGAAGAGTTTGACGCTGCATAATATTCACTGTGTGTGTGTGTGTGTGTGTGTGTGTGTGTGTACTCTCTATACTTGTCCTTGCACCACTTTATACCTCTTGTTTCAACACATAAAAAAAAACGGGACAGACAGTCAACCAGTCACATGTCCATATTACGTTAAGAGGAGAGGCCACACACACACACACTTGTACACGCATTACCCCCGGTAGTATCACCCTTCAGACTGAGGCATCCAGAACCCAGAAGGTAAATCCGGAATGAAATGATTTATCGTCGGGGAAGGATACGAAGGATATTTGAGCTCGTAGGATATTTCAAGAAGTGAAATATTTACAGGATATCTTTCCCGGGTGAGCTGCAGTGATCGTCCGTTCGTCAGTACGTCCGTCAGGGGGATGAGAGGGACGGGGGGGGGTAGGATGGAAGTGGTGAAGGAAATAGGAGGGAAATAATGAAGGAATGAGGGAATTAGGAAGGGATGTGAGGTAATAAGGAGGGAAGGAATGAGGAAGACAGAAAGAAAATGTGGGGGAGGGGGTGGAAGCAGGGATAGGTCAGAGGAGATGAGAGAGGGAGAGGGAGAATGAAGGAGATAATGAATGAAGAATGGAAAGAAGCCAAGTAGGAAGGTAAAAAAGGAAAAGAAAAGTGTAGGGAGGGAAACCAGAAGGGAAAGAAGGAGGGAGGAAGAGGAAAGAGGAAGGAGGAATAAAGAGGAGGAAGGAAAGGAGAGAGGGAGGGAAGGAACCAAAAGAGAGGAAGGAAAAGGGAGGGAGGGAACCAGAAGGAAAGGAGGGAGAGAAGCAGGGAGAAGGAGGGAGGGAAACAAAAAGAGAGGGAGAAAAAGAAGGAAGGAAGGAAGGAGGAATTTAAACGGACTCAAGAGGAAGACTAATTACACATATTCACGCACTAATCACCATAAAATTAAAGAGACGCAACACTTGGGCCCAGTAAGGTCACCGCTTCCGACTCGAGTGTTTTTCTTTTATCAATATTGACAATATGATTCTGAGGAGACGAGAGAGATTCAGTGTAGTATGGAGCTAATTGTCCAACTAATTAATTAACTAAGTGGTTGATTAACTAACTGAATGACTGACTGACTAACTGAATGACTGACTGACAAACTAACTGAATGACTGACTGATTAACTAACTGAATGACTGACTGATTAACTAACTGAATGACTGACTGATTAACTAACTGAATGGCTGACAAACTGAATGACTGACTGATTAACTAACTGAATGACTGACTAATTAACTAAGTGGCTGATTAGCTAAATGAATGACTGACTGATTAAATGACTGATTAATTAACTAACTGAATAAACGACTGATTTATTAAACAACCAACTACATCCATACATAATATATCCACTCAACATAACAACCCTTAATAGCTGATAAATTAAAAAAAAAGGTTAAAAAAAGGTCAAAAGTTTAAGGTCACAGTTGTTAAAAAGGTCACCACCGATAGTGATTTGACCTATAACAAAGCTCTTGACCCATTCATTACGGAGACGTCACTTTTAATATTTTATTTAGGTAACGTTGGACGATTTTATTCAACACACAGACCTTTCACCCCTCCCCCCCTGTGTATAATGGGTTAATTGCCTTTGGTACATTACTACATTACTTTATTTCAATGTATGTCAAACTCCTCTTTTGTTTCCTCTATCTTGTTTGTTCATTTTATGTTTTTTGTCATCTAGAGAGAGAGAGAGAGAGAGAGATTGAGAGAGAAAGATTTATAATGAGAAAAAAATGATAAAGATAAAGAATATAAATAGAGAAACTGAAATAGATGAAAAGAACCACAAAAATGTAAAAAAAAATATATATATATACTGTATAATATAAATTTTCGCGCTACAAGTCTCACATTCTGAAGTATATACAAAAAAACGTTAATTACAGGTATATACTTGGCAGGTAACAACGATGATGTCCGAGAGGTTTAATTAGAGGAATGTGAAGGAAGAGAGAGACAGAGAGACCCCCCCAAAAAATGGTAATCTTTGACTCCACAATGATAAAACGAGGAGGAAAAGTTACCCCCTTGTGTGTGTGTGTGTGTGTGTGTTACCGAGATAAACACTGTAACACGGTAAAAATATACAAGCTTGAGGAAGATTGGACAAATATTTCCACGTCGTTACCCTGTTTTTGGCCCTCAGCATTATTGGTTTTATTGACAAGTCTCTGATAATAAGGCGTAAATACATAACTTTCATTTATTTTTAACAAGTGAATATGACGTGAATTCCTGTACTGTGTTTTCGTCTTTGTTGATGTTGTGTGTGGGGGAGGGAGGGGGTGGGGGTGGGGGGGGATACAGGTGAGATAATTAATTAGTTTTTTGGTCAAGAGGTTATATGTACAGAATAAACTATAATTCTATGGCATAATCGTTAATACTACATCTGTTTTAAGTTTCATTGTTTCCTATGAGGAAGTTGGAAGTGTACAAATACGTTAGAACATTACATATGATCGCAGGAAGATTCTCCTCCTCCTCATACAGTATAATGCTCTGTGATGAATGGTGCGGTGATGACCATTTTGACATTAATGTTCACGACTGATGTATGGAGGCGTAGGTGTGAGTTACCTGTGATGTATGTGGGTGTCGGTACGGGAGTCACCGGTGGGTGGGCAGATGAGTCACCTTGGTGTCCTCAATTGTGGGGTACGAAAGTTAAGGTAGATGAGTCAACTGTGTTGTAGTAGTTGAGTAAGTGAGTCACCTTGGAGTCTTCACCTGCTGTTGATGACCTGGTAGGTGCGCCTGCCTGCCTGGCAAGAGAGACCCGCTGGCTGGCCCGTAACATCCCTAGCTGAGTGGCGCCTCACCACCAGTGTTCCCTCACACACGGTCGAGGTAGGATGTTGCCGCCACTCGCTCCTCACCAACCGCGTCACCAACACACAGTGCGATAACGAGTGCGTATCATTTCTAAATCTCCCTCTCTCTGTCTCCAAATTCATTAATTACTGCCAGAAAATAATACATCACCAGTCTGTGCATATACCAGCAAAATATATAAACCATGTGAAAAATGGATTTGTACGTTTACACATGCAATGAGCTGGAGTTGATAATAATTCATGTAGGTCACGCTGGACTGAAGTAAAGTAGTAGTGTGGTGAGTGACCGTAACACGCACGAGATCTGTGCTTACTCGACCTAGCCAATACCAAAGATGAGATCCTTCACTGTCATTCTCCTTGACGCCATCCTTCTGGCTTCCTTCGTCGAGGATTCAGGTAAGTGTCACCGGGTGTCCTTCACTTGGGACTCCGAGTAATGACTATAGCGGGGGTGAGGGTAGGGAGTGTTGTAGCGGTGATGGATCATTTTTTTACTTTACGAGACAATCAAGTCCGTATATGGTGATTTATGGGAATGGTTCGGTTAAATGAGGACAATTGCACACTGATGACTACTAATTGTACCACCTGGGTCACGTAATTACCATAACAAGAGAGACGAGAAGGTAATATTTCACTGGTCATCGATCAATGTCTTTTTTTTTACGGCCTGGTGAACTGTCGTGATCCACGCCAAATGGTTCACCAGTTACAACTCGGGGCACCATTAACCCGTGACCCCAGTGAGTGTACTCCACCAAACTCATACTTATTATGGATATTAGGACGATAACCAAGTGAAATTTAGTGTTTTACTTTAATCATTTATAACTGGAGGAGACTTGAACTCACTCATGTCACCAGGTATAGATGATCCTAGCCTCGTGACCACCGCGAGAAAAAGCTTAAATTTTTATGTGTCTAACGTTGTCGATCGTTCACAGGTGCTTCACTCAGTTTTAGACTCATAAGATATTAGGATAAAAGGTTCATATTAAACATACTTATGATACGAGACGATTTGTAGTTGAGTTCAGAAGGGCGTCATGGTGATGGTTCAGTGCGACGTGAATAAGACCCACCGAGACCAAGCCGCTATTATTCATCAAGACTTAATTGAATAACGACCCAGGATTCATTCTCTCTGTTTTTCTTCTCAATGTCTGGATGGTTGTGAACGAGGAACGACTCAGCGTAGCTACGACTTAATTGTCTATTATTGTCGTAATATCGAGTTCCATATAAGTTTTTATCTACGTGTAGTTAGCCGTGTATCCGCTTCTCTGAACCTGACTGCTGGATATTTATCGTTTGTGAGGGATACTTCTCGCAGGTGCGGGTTAACGGAGCCAGTAACCATTCTTAATTTTCTAAGACAACTTATATGAAAAAGCATATCACAATAATCCATCAACTGGAAAAATAAATATATTGAATCATTGTGTATTGATATCTGTTCGCTGATTGGCCCAATATTACAAGAGACTACACACACGTAACAACAGCTAATTGATGCCTGATATAATTAGCCACGCCCACATTAGGTATAATCAAATCTTCATTAGCTGTGTTAATCTTCAGACACTGCAATGCAGCTTGGTCGTGACCAGGCACTGATTGTTTCGATATTAAAGTGGTCAGCTCTAACGAGGCGCCAACGTTCATCTCAGAGGTAAACAGGTCTGCTTTTGGAGTCACTAAAATTCGCTTGATTAATATTTCTCCTACTGAACATGTCAAGATGCGTATGACTGTTTGACCTGGCCTAACCTAACCTAAACTACGAAAAATTACACCCTCTAAAATAAAAAAAAAATGATCCCAGAATGTTACCAAGATTCTACCTTAACGAAATACGTTCCTTCAGCGCTAATTAAGAGACAAAACGAACCTACAGAATCCATATAGAAGGGAAAAGTTCTTGCATACCTCTTTGAACTTTGCATCTTAACTGGTGTTGAATGAACGTTTATCTAGTTAAGCTAAAAAAAAAATACAAAGTACTCTTGAGATTTTTTTGTAGTTATTTTCATCTTTTGTGTTTTAGCTGAAGTCAAATACTCAAGATAATTCTGGTATCTTTAACGAGGTATTTTCTTTAATATTGTAAGAACCTTTGAGACTCACTTCCCTGGGACCTGAGATTATGTGTGTATATTAATGATTGATGATAAATTTGGTTGGTATAATTTTAAATCTACTTACGACTTTGATGCCCTATTTGTATATAGAGATGAAAACACATTGCTATTCCTTTTAGAACTGATTGGCTATTTTTGTATATACTGACGGCTAGTTTTCTGATGTCGATCGGCTATTTTTTATACTGATCGGCTATTTTTCCAGCATCGATTGGCTATTCTTTGGGTATCTATTGGTTATTCTATTGACGTCGATTGGCTAATCTTTTGGTAATTGTTTATTCTCTCGGAACCGATTGGGTATTCTTTGGGTATCGATTGGCTAGTCTCTTATCATCGATTAGCTATTCTCATCATCTACTGGCTATTTCCATCATCAATTGGCTATTCTCATCATTAATTGGCTATTCTCATCATTAATTGGCTATTCTCATCATCAATTGGCTATTCTCATCATCAATTGGCTATTCTCATCATCAATTGGCTATTCTCATCATCAATTGGCTATTCTCATCACCGACCATCGACGCCGACTAACCAAATCAAATGTCATGGCAACAGTTAATCTCATTTATTTTAATACGAATATTTTAAACCTATTCTTATGTTCCTCCCTAATTTTTTAATACCATTCAAATGTCACACATATATACAGAATCCTTTATTACAGGTGGATTAGTTCCCACCAGGTAGTCAAGTCTTTGAACATGGGAGACCCTTAAGTAGTGATTATAAAGTGAGTGTGTGTGTGTGTGTGTGTGTGTGTGTGGGTGTGTGTGTGTGTGTCCTCCTGCTCAACTCACTCTTGGAGGTAAATTTGATGACAGAAGCTACAAAAAAAAACCAAACATATGTATTGTATTTTTATTGTATTTAAATGGAATAAATAATAGTGGGATTTTTTTTAGAAATAGTAAAATATTATGGTAAATGTTTGTATTAAATTTGGACGTGAAGTGAGGAAGGGAATTCAGAAGAGGAGGAAAGGATAAGAGGAAAGGGAGAGAGAGAAGAGAAGGGGTAAGAGAGGAGAGGGAGGAGGAGGAGGAGGGGTAAGGGGAGGAGGAAGGGGTAAGGGAAGGAGGAAGGGGTAAGGGAAGGAGGAAGGGGTAAAGGGGAGGCAGTGAAAAGATAAAATAAAAAGATTCATTGCCATCTATTAGTCAGTGATTTTAGCTTTGAGTTATTTATTCATGAATGTTAATGTGATACTCAACGCTAAATAACAATTATAGATATTTAGCTCACTTGTAGCTTTTAGTTCCACGGTGATGAGGTAACGAGTCACGATACTGTACACTGATTTCATGAGACTAAAACGATTTCCGATTCGATAAACACCTTGTTATCTTTATACCGAAGTTATTGCCAATCACATCTTAATTTTTGGTGATTTCGTGATTTACGTCTGTATTTAGTCCGTCGTTACTGATTTGACTGATGGGATTTTTTTTTTTTGGGGGGGGGGGGTAATTGAGGGATGCTGTAGACACGTGGTATAATCTCTGAATTTAGCTAAAAGAGATAAAATATTATATCGGTGAAGAGTTTTCGTTCACCATACAGACAACTTGAGTTATTCTGTATATTGTATTTTGTTGATGAAAAACTCTTATGTTTTTTTAAGATTGAAACACAACTTTAGGTAATTTTTAAAGAGAGAGAGAGAGAGTGTGAGTTAGTCTTTTTTTTTAGCCATAGGGCTTATTGGACCTCCAGCTTATAAGCCTTAGGGCCTAATTGAACTCGAAGTCAACAGAATTGGAACCTATTAAGATTGGGGCCTATTAGATCTGTTACCCATCCGGAGTAGGGCCCAATAAAGCCTCGAGCCAGTACAGTCAATCACTACTCTGAGAACTGCCAAAAAACACGTGACCTTACCTGTCTCCTGACCTGACCTAAACTGACCTGACTCCACTGATTTTAAGCTTCTCCAGTTCTTGCGTCTCCAATATCGCGTGTTAGCTTACCGGAAGTATTAACTGTTCATGACTAGCTGCAGTATTCTGTCGATTTTCTAGCTGAGGTATTTTTGTTAGTTCATGTTTTAGCTTTGGTATTTTGTAGCTGTTTATGTTATAGCTGTCTTGGTGTTTGTTTATGTTTTTGTGTTGGTATGTTCTAGGTGTTTTGGTTTTAGCTGTGGTTTTAAGTCTGGTTTAGCTGTGGTTTTAAGTCTGGTTTAGCTGTGATTCTCACTACTGGTTTATATTTTTAATTGATGTTTTCCCATTCTGTTATGTTTTAGTTGCCATGGTTATAACATTTGCCATATCGTTTAAAATGGCAAAAACGATTCCACATATCACCAGTTGCCACAGTTGTCTATTTGCCATTTCTTTAATGACGTTTAACAATAAGGTAAACGTAATTACAATAAGTATTTTTCTGCCAGTTGCCATAGTCATAAAAGTGACATAATTTTTCCTATTTCCGGACATGGCACCGACGGATTACATTCATTGCCATATGGTGTCAACTGACTAATATTATTCCTAAACGTAACAACAAGATATTTATTCTAATTGCCATATGTCATTGTCATAAGTTGCCATCTTGTTGATTTTACTCCCAGACATGGCAATAGTGATTATATTATTAACCTGTCTGTCTCTTTTCTGCCATACCTGTAGAAGTTGCCATATTATCTACAATCTCTCCCGAAACTACACACGTGTTATGTCGACAGCTATAAGTGGTAGAGCTTATCACTGTCGCCACACAAGTACTTCAATTTAGTAGTGAAGAAACTGTTGTCGTGGTTAGTGGTACTTGTGGATTTTACCAGGTACTGTCCTTGTAATTAGTCTAATTTTAGTGGCATTTGATGGTGGTAGTTAGGGTGGTGTTGTCGTAGTAGTACAGTAGTTGTGGTGTTGGTGGTAGTTTTAGTGTGTGGTGATATACGTGTGTGATGGTGGTGGTTGCATGTGGTAATAGCCATATTGTGGTAGAGGTGTGAAAGTGGTTCCATTAATCGCGATGGATAAGAAGTGATAGGTGCGTAGTGAACATGCCTGAGGTAGTGGTAGTATATACATAGCATTAATAATACCAGGTGGAAATGGTGGTACGGTGGTATAACATATGGTAGTGGTGGTGGTGGTTGTGGTAGTAGTAGTAGTAGTAGTAGTAGTAGTAGTGGTGGTGGTGGTGGTAGGAGTAGTGGTGGTGCTGGTGGTGGTGGTGGTGGTGGTGGTGGTGGTAGGAGTAGCAGTAGTAACTGTCTGCTGGTGGTAGTGCCGACTCAGG